TTTTACTCGATATAACAAACGAACTAGCCGTCTCGGTATTAGTATGCATTCTTGTGAGAGTCAAGCTGGGTCCGCAGCTCTGTTTCACTCGAGGATTCCCACACATCTATGACGCTCGGTGCCCTTAATTCCTGTCATTGTCCCCCAGCTGGTCCAGACAGATACACCGAGCGAAACGAGAGCGAAGAGGCAGAACGCGGAGAAGTTGTCACTTCTTCGATTCTCTAGACCAGGTTGACGATAAGATAGAGAGAGAGAGAGCGGGAGATACGAATACAAATGTGTGTGGATCGGTTCGTGAGGTCCTGCTTACTCCGAGGTGAATAGAAGTATGCGCCAGGGTTCTGAAAGCAAAGGGGCTGCCTCCCTTCTGAGACAATAATAGAAACAGTGCCTAGCACCCTTGCCACGACCCAAATACCTTAAAATACATGATACACGACGAGCCTCTGCTCCATTTCTTCTATTTCTCTCCCTTCCCCCGTCGTGCTTCTTGCTCTCTCTCTCTCTCTCTCTCTTTCTTCTCTGTTAGTTTGCTCAATTTTTTTTCCCCTACTCCTCTCTGCTCGTCTCAACGATACAATTAAAGTACGTTGCGGTCTTTAAAGCTTGAACCATCCCTCCCCCTCCCCTGGCCCCTCTCTCGCCCTTTGATCGCCCTTTCTCTAGGACCGCTCTGTTCCCGTTTGTCGTTCGATTTATGCCAACGAAAGGGGTGAAAGATGAAATCTCTGGCAGCAACGCGTTCCCAATTCTCTACCTGTTCCGCGGGTCACGAATTATTTCCCTCTCTGTTATTATCCTTCTTTTTTCTTCCCTTTCTCTTTCACTGGTTACGCCGCGTCTGATTCTGGCTGATCGGCCAATCGACCGGGTCTCTTTATTCCACCGGCATAACCGAATCTTCATCACCCTTCGATTCATCGGTTAGGCCGAAGGGGCCGGCAAGCGAAGGAACGCTTCGCCATGTAGATTCTTTGATTTGTGGGATCGGTTAGTCGTCGCCCCACGTCGCAAGCATAATTCCGTTTGATTATCGTGAACGCGCGGGCACCCGAATTGGGATCGAGTGGGCCGGAAGTCGTTCCTTCCTCCACTCCGTCCTCGCCCCATCCGTTACCTATTAGCGAGTTCGATTCCGATAGATTGAGTTTTTTCTTTTTGCGACAAGTTAGTGTAACGATTTTTGTCCCGTCGGAACTTTTTTCTCCCTTTCTTTCTTTCTCTCGCGAGAATTTTAATAATTTTCGTAAATCGTGTTTAGTGATCCTTACTGTATCGTTCAAGTGTTCTCGCTTGTTACATTTAATTAAATACTTGTTTCAACTCGGTTTGGCTAGCTGAGACTAAATTATTGCTGTCATTACAGTGTTATTTAGTATAATCGTATTGCTTTTCTCTGGCATCGTTCTGATCTTCAACTTCAGCTAACTTTTTAATTTAAACGTCAGTCAAATATTTTTTTTTTTCCTCAACTCAAAATACCACTTTCAACAGAAAACTATTTAATTTTCTCACCATTATTTGAAGTTTTTTCCCAGACTCTACATCAGCTTGATTTCGCACCATTAAAATTATTTTTTTCATCGTTCACTGAAAGTGTCAACCAACGAAATCCATTCGAAGTTACCAATACGTGAAATACTGCACTAAATTCATTTTATTCTATTTTATTACAGTCGCTGGAAATTAAAATCACCCCTCATTATACAAAGCATCGGTACAGGGCGAGCCTTATCCATTATTCAAATGGTACATTACGCTTCATCGAGATCTAAACCATCGGTTTAGAACCGTTCCAGATAAAATCGATTCCTTTATAAATAAAATATCGCTCGCATTTGTTCCAAGGCGCAAATTCGCGCGGCTCTACTTATTCTTGGCTAACAGTAGTAAGGTTAATATATTCGTTATTTCTGTACGCAGTCAGGAGAGCCCTTGTTCCAGAACTCGTGGCGCGCCAATCGAGGCAATGCACATTTTTCGCCACATTCCTCCATAATTCATTTTCGCTCTTCGTTCGCGTTTCGGCCTACCTTCGCGCGTTTATTCTCCGAGAGCGACACACGCCCGCGTTCGCGTTCATTCATTCGAAATTCCAGGCAGCTCCGCGAGTCTTTCGACTAGCTAGCGTCTCGCCTAAATCGAATACTATATCTACAAATCTCGTGAAAAATGTAGCGAAGTCCCCTCCGTAACCGTTGACTGCCGCCCGTTTCAGATTCATACCGTGACTTTTGGAAATTTCTCTTGATACGTTCGCCGTTGATTGAATTTTCGTTATTTGCGGCGTTGAATGATAAATTACTCTCG